CAAGGAAAAACAAATGAATCAATTCACTGACAGTTGTTTCTCAGTGCAAATGTTCTAACTTTTTTTCTAACTTATTGGACCAGAATGTACTGAACAGAATGTATTTAGGATGAGCTAAAATTTAATTACAAATATGTTATCATTACAATATTTTTGAAATACAAGTTGTCCATAAAACAAGTGTACAAATAGGTTGTGTATAAATTGTTAGCATAGGCACTGATGATATATATCTCTCTGCCAGGTTTCTCCAAGTGATAGCCAGAAATGTATCAGGAAAATGTTGTTTTCTAAGGGTATGCAATTAGATGGTATAAGATGGTGGCATTCTAAATGCCAGTTTTTTTTTTTGAAGATGTCACAATTAATGTCAAAGAATAAACCAGCTCAGAGATTAGATGAATGCAAAGGAAGCTTAGTCTTTTGCCCTATTTGCTTAGTTATGACAAGTGGAAGTATCAGACAGCTGAGGGATTTGACATTCAGAATCCTGGTCCAATCCCTTCAAGCTGTGTTGTAGAAAACTATTAGCTGTTTTATGCATACTAGAACACTTGAAATTCAATAGAACAAAGTCAACAATGTAATTAACAATTATTTTTTAATTCCTTGACATTTTTGTCCTTTTATGTTTATTGCTGTAAATAATAATGTTGTATAAATCAGTATGTCAACAAAATAGAGGTCAACAGAAGTATTTGCAATTTTTTCCCTTTTTCTTGCTAACACAGTGATTCAAAAACTCAGAAAAACTCAAAAAGTTACAGAAATGACAAGAACTCAAAATGGGAACAAAATGACTACCAAATGCTTTGAACAGGAGGCATCCCCTGCACCACAGAAGTAGTCACTAAATTTTATTCTGGGTGCTAGTTGAAAAGACTTCCTATGTCTCCACAAAATTAGGCATGTGTGATTCTTCATCTCCAGTTTTCACCACTGCCCTCTGCTTGAAATAGCAAGATGCTGTCTCCTCCAGAGAGGCAAAGCAGCGAATACTGTTGCCTTCCAGCAGCCTGTGGGCTTGAATAGGGGGTCTTGTCCTCTCCACAGAGGAAAAAGGAACCTGTTCAGAACCCGAAGGGAGTAAGAAGGCTATTGGCAAGCTCTATTATATTGAAGTATTTCAGAACAACCCAAAAGAGTATTAAAATAATGAATGAGTAGGATTTAACCTAAGAATTCTCATTCTGTGATCTTTCCATCTTTCCATCCTAAAAAAAAGATAAACCTCCCTAAATCTTCTCAAATTGTAGGAAAAAAAATATTCATCAGTTTTATCAGGCACTTCAGCAAAAATTTTGTAACATTCATCACTTCTTTTTAAATCAATTTGCTATATGAAGAATAATGAATACTATGTTCTTAGATGTGGGGCAATCCTGACTCATTTTTCGTTTGTGTTGCAAAGTTTGTGAAAAGCAAGATAAAGAACTATATGTGTATACTAGGAACAAAAGTAACTTCTAGCTTAGGTGTTTTGTAAATTCAAGTTTCTGGTGTTCTATGAACAATGAAAACTTCATTATTTAGTGACCATTATAACTTTAAAAAGCAGTAGTATATATAACCTATAAATATCTGTACTATATTACGGACATGATTTTTGTTAAGACCAAGAACAGATTATTTATTTCCCCCAAGAAACTCTTGTTCAATAACTTTTCATTAGCTGTCCAATGTGAAGACATGTAGAGATCACAGAGATCTTCATAAGATTTTGTCAAAATTGGTAGCTGGAGAGGAGAGAGATGCAGTCAGTGCCCAGCGAAGGACAGATTGAAACAGGAACTCCATAGTTTACCTGCTTCATTCAGTCTGCTGTTTAGCCATGACTCATTCATACAGCTGGATACCAGCATTAGCATGTGCTGCCTTGTTCCTCAAATGGTATTTAAGGTATATAGAAAGAATTTGAATGCTGTGCTTGGTCTCTGAAAGTTTTATCTAGAGTTGTCAATCTAGACAATCTAGTCTAGACAATCTAATTGACAATCTAGAGTGGTTTCTGAGCTTCATGAAAAAAGTTGTTCATTACTATCATCATGACTGTTATGACATACACTGCAGGAATGTGGACAATTAAGTGTCTTTATGGAAACGAGTACTTGAATAGTAGATACTTATTGATTATGAGCTGCTTCATATTAAAAAGATGCTCTCTATGACTTTTGCAACTGTACAGAATCACATCCACCCTCTAGGGTGGGATGCAGGAGAGGTTGCTTCATTCATCACTGGTGTGATGAGTATGCATTCAGTAGGCTGTTCATATATTAAAGCATACCTCCCCCCCAATTAAAGCTGTTTGTTCTAGAACTGAAAGCAGAAACACTACTTTTTTTCAAGAGAATGGCATAAACATGTTTTTATAAACAGTAAATTTCACTAATAACAAATGTCAATAAACACATTTTATATAAAGAGCTTCATGTTTCTATTCTATATTGCTATACCAATAGCTTGAAGGGAGTAGGTATGATCCATGTCTTAGCAACTTCTATATCCTGTCTATCATCTAGTAATCATCTAGTAACTTAAGGCTCCACTTTTTGCAATGCAGTGTTCCAAAAATGCTGTTTTCAACCATAGCAGACATGCCTGTGCCTGAAGCATTTGTCAGAAATGTTACATGTTCAAGCCTTCTGTCTCTGCACTGTGCACGTTTGCAGCCAGCCAGTCCGGCCAGTCAGATTGAAGTCTGGCACAGAGAAATCTACCTTCAGATGTGTACAGAGATGTGTTTATTTGTTACTTCAGTATGTAAAATGCATTGAAGGGAAGCTATGACTCAGCTTTTGCAAACATGCAGTCACTCTTGAGAGAGCTTCATATAATACAGAGATAATATAGACATGAAACAGAGGCAAATTCAGAATGTTAGCACTCAGGTGCTCATATATCTAATTTTTCTGTTTGCATCATCGGTACTTAAAATTGTGTGCACAGAGTTAAAGTGTCTTAGAAAATGTGTCTTTCATTAGAGCAAGAACTTTGGAGCTTTACAGAATCTTATTAGTACAAATAACTTGAGCTCAAGGAGGAGAAGTGCTCCTGTGAGAATGGTTTGAAGCCAAGCATGTCCTGTTTTAATGGCCCACATGCATTTTAATATTTGCCTAAAATATGGTGTCATTCTTTCAATTCATATCTTTTATGTGTTGAGTTTTATAACTTCTTACAGGCTTTCAGAAAGATATTCTCTTATTCTGAAAGTGGAAAATACTGTAAGGCATTTTTGCCTTTGATATGTGTCTGAGAGTGTGTGTGTGTGCCCATGCTTACATGTAAGGGAGTGTGTGTTGTCAAAGTCATACAACAAAAGATACAAGGGAATTTTACATAAGAATATGAAAATACAAGTGTTCTTCCCTCTTTTTTGTGCAAAACCAAAAGCCAACCATTAAAGTTACAGTAGGGGTGAGAGGAAGAAAGACAGAACCTATTTTAAGCTTAATTAGCCTCAGGTGGTCCTCTGAAAATGTATCTGTGAGTACTGCAGTGCAGCACAGCACACTGTTGTGTCTGTAAAGCAGTAAATATTTTTATTTGGAATTAATAGGAGGAAATCCTAAGTGCCGAACACAGTTAAATACCTGTACAGAGATTGATAATTACTGTTTGTTTGAGCGTCACTTATGCAAAGATGTTAGTTCTCCTGCTGCTTCCTTAAAAGTGGCATCTGTTTCTGCTCTTGCATATAGTTGCGTATTAAGGAATCTTGGCAACTGTAGGTCAAACACAATTGAGATTTACAGTATTTTATGCCTCCCTAGGGTCTCTTTGGATGAGACTGATCTAAGCTGTAGCAGGTCCAGATCCATAGATTGTAAGATCCTCCCCATGTGCTGGTTCCTCCTCTGCAGGCTCCTTCATTCCTCACTGGCTAAATTTCTAGCTCTCTGAAACTCTGTAACCTGTGCCTATACATCCTTTCTTTCTGTTTTTTGCGGGGTGATAGTGGGGAGGTCATCACGTCTGCTGGGAGGGAATTTGAGGTTGCTAACATGACAACAACTCAACAAATAGATTTCACTTTTGTCTTCAAAATATAGAATTACTTAAAAAAATCTAAAAACTGATTTAATGAGTACATCTTAAGTGAGTCTGGCTACATTTCAAATTTCTAGGTCTCTGCAGAGCAATATCTAACTTAGTATTGCCATAAGAGCTAAGGTACTGCTTGGTTTTAGCATTATCAGGACTGTATATTACCATGTCCTGTGCCTATATGAGATTATTCCCTAGAATGTGTTTCTGAATACTTCGTTCAGTCTTTATGTGTGGGGCCAGAAAGGCAATTGATATAGAAACATTCAAATGGAATGAAATAGCTAAGGAAAATGAAACAGAACTAACAGGGCAGTTTGTCTCTCTGCCAGTCAATGGAATTTCCCTTAGGTTATTAGTTGGTTTGCCTGGAAATTACTTTTCCTTCATATTATGACTGTTGCATTTACTTTCAAAAAAAGTGAGAGCGCAAAAATGCAGAAAATGCTCCTGGTTATTTTGTCTCTTCTATCTGTGAAGTACGAAAACATAGATGATAATCTGGTGGATCTTAAGGCTCCTACAAACAACACCTACAAGATATATGTATTAACCTCAATGTGGTCTCCTCACCCATATTCATTTTCTTTGTCAGTAAAATTGCTGTTCTGTTGCTGTCTGTTGTCATAAACACATTCAGGAGGACTTCATGTGACTTTTAAATGTCATGATTCCTTGTTTCAGTAACTTTGACAAGATTTCAGGGAAGTGTTCTTATTTCTTTTCCCCCTCATAAAAAATAATAATAATATGCAATGTATGCATATTATGCATATGCAGTATGCAGTGGGAATGTATGATCTGAGGAATGTCAGTTTAACCACATATACATTTTCAAGTAATGAAAATATAGCAAGTCTTGACATTAATTTACTAATAAAAAGCTTTTGGTTTTTGCAACCCCTTTACGCAAGCAAATTAACATGTTTGTTTTTACTTTGTAACTGTAGTACATTTACTCCTAAAATGCAAGGCAGACGGATGGGGACGTCAGGGAGAATCACTAAGAGCACAAGTGTGAGCGGCGAGATGTACAAGCTGGAGCACAACGACGGGAGTCAGTCGGACACGGCTGTGGGTACAGTTGGAACAGGTGGGAAGAAAAGACGTTCCAGCCTTAGTGCCAAAGTGGTTGCCATAGTGTCCCGCAGGAGCAGAAGCACATCTCAGCTTAGCCAAACAGGTGAGTGAGGCACATGCTGTTTGCAAACAGGAATCACCAAGCGTAGTTTATCATCATTTCATCTGTGGTATCCATGTTACATGTATCTTGATATAGACTCCTCAAGCGAAGAGTTTCCAGCTCGGAAAGGATTTTTGAGGTACTAAGTTTGTCTGATCATTAGCCGTCTACAAGAAGTCATACACAAAAACCTGTGTGAAAGTAGGCAAAGAAACACAAAGGAAAATATGTGGGTATCAGCAGTGGATAATGCTTTGGCTAAGAGCAGTCTTTTATTTATATGAAATTTCTTTTAGCAGGAAAGCTGAGTGCAAATAAGGGAATTAAAATCTGAGCAAATGAATGTCAGTTATGTAAACTGTATAAAGAGTTATACCTGCAGTACTGAAAAATATGTTTTAAGAAACTATTTTTGATTTGGTAGTTGAATAAACCCAGTATTTTTTCTTTAAAAACAACACTGTCAGAAAAAGGTCAGTGAATTCAGATGAGTTAGATTACAGCATGATGCTTCATTAGGAGCATAGGATTTCCAATCCTTTATTACTACTTCAGAAATCTTAAAAGCATCATATCTTAATGGCCTGGAGGAAAGAAAGCTCATATAGACAGACGCAAAAGGAAGAATATTTTAAAGTCTGTGTCCTACTCCCATTTAACTCCAGCGAAGACTTTTGTTCTCATCTTCGGTTGGAGCAGGATCTGACCCTAAGGGTTCTTTCTTACTAAAAGAAAAGGGTGAAAAAAAAAGAAAAGCTTCAGCCTAGCATCGAATACAATCATATTGCAGCACTCCATAGTCAGGATAATCTAAACTAAGGTAAGTAATGAATTGTTTATTCATATTATAAAATATATCACTCTTTTCCCGTTTTTCTTTTATTGTCAGCCATAGCATTGGTTCTTTCAAAATACAAAGTTGTCAACTTTAACAAATAGATTTTAATACCTTTTTGCACTAATCAGTTATGATTTTTAAGACAGAAAGTGCTTAATCATGCAGCTGGACTGAATGAGAGATTTAGTAGCCATATTTGAAGCCCAAAATTGAAAGCAAGATTTTATTGCTCAAAAATGCTGGAGGATCTTTAGCATTCTGCCTGAATATTGGAACTATTTTAGCTATTTTACAGAGCATTCTTATGATGGAATCTGGCATTCCTTTCAGTTGCTAAATCACATTGAAATAGTATTGACTATACCAGAACAAATCTTTGCTCCGTCTTACTCAGTACTCCAGCTCTGACCAGGAATCAGGTCTGTATGATTAAGAAGGCTACAAGGCTTAGGATTATTTGCCTATCATGGACTTTTTGTCTTACTCCTCAAAGAGTTTATATTTAATTTAAAATATAAACTATGACTTCTGAACATATTTTGACATTATCTATTTAAAGTTCAGATGTTCTCATTTTCATATAAAGATAGCATTGCTCTCTCAGTTTTGCTGAGTTGAATTTTCAAAACAATAGGAATTTTGCAAAGAATGGGACATCTTGCCCAAAGCAATAATGTAGTGCAAACACCAAGTCAAATAGAAAAATTATGATTCTGTACTATTCAGTGTTGTAAAACAAAGTAGAGTGTGGGTTTTAGTTTGCTTTACATTGTCTCAGGCAAACAGTAGCAAATGTGATATAATGAGAGCAGAGAGGATGTGGCATATTTTATCAGCCAATATTTTTGCATTTAATTATGTGTCAAAAATCAGCGAGTTGAATTAATGAATTTTTTTAGCTTAGTATGATACTTTATATAGGACTTGACTTTTTTTTTTTCCAAAAATAACCCCTCTTTGTTGGAGGCTAAATACTCATGTCCTAAATCAGGGAAACACTTTCTTGCAAATATGAAAAATAAATGAGATTTTGGCCAGAGAGTCCTTGTGAGATAAATAACCCCATAGTAATTTAGTTTTGTTTCTGCCAAAACACTTTAGTCATCAGTCTGGGTGTGTAAAGCTAATATATGAGAGATTGTTAGAGGCACAAATTTTTACTTCTGAAACTAGTTTAGGATAATATCTTAGATTAAAAAAGCTGCTATTGGGCTAGAGGTTAGAGGGTACATGAGGGGAAGAAGAAACTAAAAAAACTAAAATTTAATTGAATGTGTTCTGCTTAGGTAACTGAATACTGTCTCCACCATTTACAGTAAAAAATCTGTTTTCCTGATATACTATAAGCTAGACCCTTAATCAATATAGTAGTCACACGCTGAAGTATTATAACATTGATATGAGAATGTACAGGCCTGCACAAAAGTGGTGTCAGATATGAACTTCTGCTACGGATCTTCAATAACTGAAGGTATGCTGTTAACATGAGGTATAAAAAGTACAGAAATGTATGAACAGGGTCCATTGCTTCCGGAATTAATCAGGCAACTTAAAAAGAAACAATGTTTTTTGAGACTTTCATGTCTGAAAATAATTCTCATGATTTATGTATACGTTTGGTTCTGAGAACTCAGTCAAAACAGAAGACTAGAAATGAAAGGCTTGATGTTTGTTGAAAATCTGTGGTTCCATAGATTGCAGTTTACTAATGTCTTCCAAGGTAGTTAAATCAACATTTATCATTCTTTTTTCCATTTTAAAAAAAAAGATGATCAGAAAGGCTGAATGCCACTTTTTACAGAAGATTCTTGCTTTTAGCATATTGTAAATGTTTAATCTTATATAAGAATAGAAATGGTTTGTATGAAATAACTACTAGATAGCAATTATTGTTCAGTGATAATCTTTTTTACACATATGAGAAGTGTGTGTGTTTATGCGTGTGTGAGCCTGTGCTTGCATGTATGTGTGTAGATATATAGACATTAGTCTTGTTGCATAAATAACGTGCATATATGATTTAGAAGGATCTACGATCACCTTATTTTGAGCTTGTATCCCTTCTTGGTCAGTGTTGTTGGAAAACTTTTTTTCTGAATTTATGCCTTGTAGTATTGTTAGTGAAAAAGTCCTTTTCTAATTTTCCATAAATCTGCAAAGAAAAGCTCATATTTCTATGGGATTTTTCTTCCATTTATATTTAAGATTTCTTTACTTTTTATTATGGTACATTAAAATAATGTTTTTTCTACTTCAAATGGTTTGCTAATTGAACTAGGGTACATTTTTTAGTTTGTTGAAAAATGTTTGCAATCTGCTGACTGCATTTCTACTGAGAATGCAGCTTATGCTATCAGAGGTAAATAAGACCACAAAAATGAAAACTGGTCATGATGTATTTTATAATATTTTCTTTATCATACAGCTTGCCCAGGTTTCTTGTCTTTGTCTGCTTTTATAAACCTTTAAGTGTAGATTTTTCAAGTACTTACAGCAAATAAATTTTAAGAATTCTGTAAGATTGAGAATTCCTGTCACTGTAGATTCACATAGTGTCACATTTCTATGGCATATTCAGCATGACGTAGTTGCCTGCCAGAAGAAGTTGTGTACTACAAGGTGGAGCTGAAATCAAATATTCTCATAAACTGAAAATTGGTGGCAAAAACACCATTCACCTGTGTGTGTACATGTGAACTGAACACATACAAAGTAGCTTTAAACATCAAAGAAAAGGTCTTTTCATGCTCACACAGACAGACTTGGAAGGATGTCTGATCACTGCAGTCAGACAGAAACTAGCAATCTGAGCAAAAGATCTGAGCAATTTTGGAAAAGAAATTATCATCTCAATGAGAAATTGTCAGCAAGCAGTCAAATACTAATAATCATGTTTTCCACAGTATAGATTGTAGAAGTGATATTGTTATGTGCTCATTACAGCTTTAAGAAAATTTCTTAGTCTAGTTGACTGTCTCATGTTTCGTTATTTGAGAACAATCTTAATAATTCCTTCTGTTATGGCTTTGTTGGATCATTGTAGTTTAGGCAATATTTCGGAAAGACAGCCCCAACCATTATGTTAAGAAAGCATGCTGTAGTGATTCAGAATATGATAACTCGCTAACAGACTACTCACATGAAAATTAAGCAGAGAATAGGAGCCTTCCTGCCTCAGAGCTTCAGCGTTTTAGTGTAGACACCAAAAGGAAGAATCCTAATCTTACATTTTTGCAATATTTGTTCAGTCATACCAGCAAGGATATTTTTTCCATACATCCTAGTAGTAATTTTACAAGATAACAAGAGATTTCATACAGGTCTAGGTGTTAGTAGTGAAAGATAATGCAGATGATATCAGAAATAATATATGCCCGAAGGTGGAGACTTTGGAGAGAAAGAGGGATAGTTTGTTTGTTTTTTACCTCCAGAACGCCATTGCTTCTTTTCATCAACTCAGGGAAATAATTTTGTTATTTTTTAGAAGGGTCACAATGACCTTTTCTTTTAGTGGTCGGTCTTTTTTTTTCACATTTCCATTTGATTGATCAAGTCTTGACTATAAAAAATGACCAGAATACTTCTGAGAATCTGCTTCTGAGTTTACTTTTCCGTCACTGTAGTGAAAGAAATTGTGCTTATTAAAAAGTTACATTTATTTTATAATAAATGTGATTGGTAGACAGAAAAAAGTTCTGTAAATATACTTTGCCTGGACTTCAGTAAATCATATGTTACTATTAGATTTGATGGAGAATATGCAGATTATTGAGGAAGGCAGTTTGTCTTGGAAGACACTGGTTAAGAGGGAGACAGCATCTAATTTTAAGAAAACAACAGCCAGATAATGCTGACTGGTTGAGCTCCTAAGACAAAAATCATGGGCAGATATTAGTATTTTAATGAGATGCAGCAGGTATGCTGCTAGAATATGCCAGTGACATTGAGCTGGAAAACATACTGCTTCCAGAAGATATAAAGGAAGTGCTGATGAGCTCGAGGACTGGAATAATAGAATTAGGATAAAATGTAGCTACATAGATTGCAAGATCATTCCTTGCAAAATGACAAATCAGGATTTCCAGGAGCCTGTCATCTGGAAGCATCAGAAGAAAACATGAGTATAATAGAAATTCCAGGATAAATGTAATATAGCAGTAAG